GACATGAGAAGCACTACTGCTTTCTCGCCAGTTGCCAGGGAACAATCCGTGAATTCCTGTTACTTTTCCAGGTGGGGTAATTTGACTCCTCCCCCGCCCCGCCCTCTTTTCAGACCATGCAGGCAGCCAGGTAGGAAGAGAACGTTTTTTCCCTTCCTCCTTTGTGTGGACACATATATGCAGATCTTTAAGAAGTGGAACATACCACGCATGTTTTGCTTTTATCATTTCACTTCCTTTCATGCCTAGAAGACACATTACTTCATTATTCAAAGACTATGTAATACTTCCTTATTAAGCATATACCATGATTCATTTAACCACTTTCCTGATGATGTTATTTGGGTTTCTTCTCATACTTTGCTACTGTTCATTATGCCACAGTGAACTTTCCTGTCAGTTTTCATCCTTTAAAACTTGTGTCAAGTATTTCCAGAGTTTAATCACTAGGTCAAACAATACAAACACTTCAGATCTGGACAGATATAGCTCAGTGGTGCAGTGTTTGCTCAGCATGCATGAAGCCCTAGGTTTGATCCCATCACCACAAAAAAAAAAAAAAAAGAAAGAAAGAAAAGAGAAGAAAGGAAGGAAGGAAGAGAGGGAGGGAGGGAGAAAAATTGGACAGCTTTTACAAAAAACACTTTCCATGTAGATGAGGTATGAGCATATTGTCCCATCAACAATTTGATGAAGCATCTCTTTCTCCTGATTCTTATCCACACCAAATATTTAAATCTTTTTTGCTATTTGCTAATTTGATAGAGAAAATGGTGTTGCATTGTTTAATTTGCATTTCTCTGATTTCTAGTGAAGTTGAACATCTTTACATTTTTTGTTAGTACTCTGTATTTTATTAGTGGTTTGAACTGCCTAATTAATAAATGTTTGATGCTTTCAGTTTAGAAAATGCAATGTAATTCCCTCCAATTTTTATGTCTCTTCCCCCTTCCCACATTATAACAGTCCAGTAATACTGTCAATATTATTTTTAAGAGCCTAGAGAATCAGAGTATGCATAATTTAAAATTTCAGAAAAATCACAATGCAATGTATATTAGGATTAAAATGTGTTTTTATAGAGATCACAGGTTCAAGAGTAAGGCATACCTGATTCACATCCTAGTTTTGCTGGAGAATAGCTGACTCTAGGGATTTTGCTTTCTTCCCTGAGCCCTGGTTTTCCTAACTATTGAATGGGGAAAATGATTTGCTTAGCCTGATAGCAATAATTGTAGAAGGTAATGTGTTTAAACTGTGAAGTATAGGGCCTAGCACATAGTTAACTACTCCATAAATGGTTGCTACTGTTACAATGTTATGACAATGGAAAATTGGAGTTTAATATTTGTTGAATTAGGAATCCGCATTGTGAGTTTCTCAGTCCTGTGCCTTATTCTTATTTCCATGACCACCGGGCTTCGATCTCCTTTCCTCTTCTTTTCTGATTGAGCAGGGTTTTGTCCTCTTCAAGGTTGTGGTTTGAATTCTAAGTCTGTAAATCAGGAAGTTGGAGAGGTGGAGGTAGCCTCACATATGACTGAGCAGTGGGGCCGAGATCTGAGTGAACCCAGTACCAGAGAAGGTGATCATGTTCCCCAGCTTAATTATCAGATAGGGCCCATCATTAATCTACAGTCAATGGCTGACCTTGGTAACAAGTGAAATACTTTTTGGTTGTGAATAACAGATCCGATCCAAGGGACTCTAAATAATGAGGAAACCTCACTATCTTCAGTCACAAGAACCTGGGGTTATAGCAGTTTTAAGCTGGGCTCATTCAGCAACTCAACAACACCCCCAGAACCCAGTTCCAGACTACTTTCAAGACTACATCTGCAGCTAATTGCTTTGTCTTGTATTGACCGCACTCATTTCCAAGGAGGCTCCTGCAAAAAACAGCATCTAGAGTCAAAGAAAATCTGACTCTCCTTGTGTCTTCTATGGAGAGTAAAGCAATCTTTCTTATGAGTCCTCCAGCAGATTTTGTGCAACATCAAATCAGCCCAAATTGAATCATCTCACTTCTCTTGCTGAGAAAAATCAGTGACAGGACGATGAAGTTACTATGCTTGATTTAGGCAACCCTGGGGTCAGAGAGTGGCGGCCACCTTCAGAGCACATGCCTGCTCAACACCCGGACAAAACTGTGAGCCAGGAAGGGAGGAAAAAAGATCATCTGTGCGGCACAGATGACCAGCAATGTCTGGCACGCTCATGGGTTTGATAAGATTTGGGAGGTATATTTTTAAGATTCAATTTTAAATTAATATGTAAACCCTTCAGTTAATGATGTGAAAGCATCAATTTTGAGGTTTGCCACCTGGAAGAAGCATTACAAAGGGAAAGAAGGTAATATTTCCTACCATTTTTGGAACTAGAAGTATGATTTATGGGTAAATAACTGAGCTTTAAAAGGAATGAACTTAGCAGTATATACAGAGTTAACTCCCAAACACTCGGCATGGCTTTGTGTGGCGCTATCCCAGGTCTTAGGAGAGGCACTCCTGGCTAGGTGGGACACACAAGACAGACTGGGGAAGCCATGAGTGTGCTCCTAGGGTTGTGCCTGTGACAGAGGCCAGCCATCCAGTCATCCTGACAGCCTCATACCCAATGCCCAGCATATGAAGATATGGAGAGGTGGGCATGTGGAGGAGGGCAGTTCCAGAGAAGACGTTCATCCTTTAAAGATGCTCAGATGGGAATGCCCAAAATGATGGCATTCTTCCTGCTTGCTTCTCTGTCCCAGCTATTCAAGACTGGCTCATACTGAGAACAGATCTCAAGTCTAACATGGGCACAGTTTGCTCTAAGGGGCAAGGCTGGAAATACCTGCTGAATACCAAGGCCCCACTGGGGAAGAGTGTGAGTGCATTCCTGTGACTGAACAACCCAGGTTCACTAGGATGTCAGCCTGTGGTTGCATCTTCAGCTCTTTAATGCTTTTGACATTTCCAGGCCTGTGGATAAACTGGGACTGACTTTCTGGAATGAAGAACATCTCTATGCACCTGGTTCTACTATAGCCTTGATCAGAAACTGAGTTTGTGGAACAGGCAAAAGCAGGTTGAGCACTACGGCAAAATTAGCTGGGGTGAGACCACTGGGGAGAGGCAGCTGGGAATATGGGGAGTAGGGGCAGTGAGGGACAGGTGAGCATACGAGCTGAGGGAGTCACCTACATCCACATCCACTACCTGGCTAATTACATCCAAGTCTCTGGGAGAGGCCAAAACAGTGTTGGAGCTCCTAATTCTGAGTTTTCAGAACTAGTTACCATAAGTATTTTGTTCAGAGTAACACTTTGGAGAATGTCATCAAAAAGATACTTGCCTATGCTCTGACCCCAGATGCCCTACAGCTTGGGATGCAAATAGACCCTCACACAGGTCTCTCCGCTGTTCTGTTACTTAACGCCATGGGCTGAGAAGAGATCTAAGGCTAGTGATCTCCCTCACAGCCTTCTTTGGCATCTCATGGCTTTGGATGTCTGATGGTCACAGCCCTAATAATCACTACAATATTAAAAACTCTTTTAATATTGTAAGACTTTGGGAAACTGATGAATTGAACAGAACATTAAGATTACCTGTTACAGGAGAAAAAATAATGAAGAAGGGAACAAATAGAGGTTTTTAGTCAGAAAGCATGCTTTTAGAAAACACTTGGAAGAAATCCATTTATTTGCATGTGCTATGAGTTGGAAAGACTTCAGAATCTGAGTTTGCATCCAGTTGTCCCACATCCCAGCCCTGGAGCATCACAATTCCTCCCTGATCCCTGGTTCTTCATCTGTAAAATGGGAAGAACAGCTCAGAGCATGCGTGCTAATAATTCTCTTCACCTAGAGAAAACCAAGAGAAATGACCGAGGGTGAAATAACTCTCACCCAATCATTCTGTCCCAATTTTCTTTGCTTCCTCTCAAAGAAAGAACAGAACAAGTTCAGCCTCATCGTCTAAGTGAAATCTCTTGGCTAGAGGTAGGGGATAATTTTCCTACCTTAACATCTGCCTCAGTACTGCCTGGCTCTGTCATTTACTAGCTTTTTACCTTCAGGCAAGAGCTTTACCCTCTCTACCTTGCTCCTCATCTGCAAAATTAAAACATAGTGTAGGACCACTGTGATATGTAGAGTAACTGGGATAGAATGCACAGCATTTACACACTGCGTAGAACATAGAAAGCACTCCATAAGTACTAACAGTTACTGTTTGGGGGTTATTGAAAGATGCAGACTTGGCAATTATTTTGTCAATCTAATTTGGTTATAGGTTGGTAACCAATCTAAATTGGCACAGGTTGAGCATCCATCATATAAAAATCTGAAATCTCAAATGCTCCAAAATCCAAAACATTTTGTGTGCCAGCATGATGCTATGAATGGAAAATTCCATACCTGACCTCATGTGATTGGTCAAAATGCAGGTACAGTAAAATATTATATATAATCATGTTCAGCCTGCTGCATAAGGTGTAATTGTGTGTTTAGACCTGGGTCCCATCCCCAAGATGTCTCATTAAGTATATGCAAATATATCAAAATCTGAAAAAAAAATCCAAAATCCAAAGCACTTTTGGTTCAAAGCATTTTGGATGAGGGATACTCAGTGTGTAATGGTATACATTTTAAAAAGTAATAAAGGTATATTTACTTAGAAAATACTGTAATATCTTCCCTCATTGTTTAAATTGGCCATCTACCCTATTAAATATACCTTATTATATGGTGAGCTTCTTGTTACCTTTATAGCCAATGGGGTTCCCAGTTAGGTTCTTCCCCTCCATGCTCTACCCACTGCTCCTGCCCTGTTACAGTCTCAGTGTGTCTAAAGTGACCAACAGTGACAAGCGATTCTCTAACATCTCTCAGTCATGAGCCCCAGGATCCAGCATCCTCAGAGCTACTTCCTGACCGCTTGGAGATAAGGAAGGTTATAGCATGTGTCATATGCTTGAGGCCTCCTTCACTGAACTTGCCCTTGTATCTTCCGCAGGCTGTAAAGCGGTTCTTGAAACAAGAGTGCAAGTGTCATGGCGTGAGCGGCTCATGTACTCTGCGGACATGTTGGCTGGCCATGGCCGACTTCAGAAAAACGGGTGATTATCTCTGGAGGAAGTACAATGGGGCCATCCAGGTTGTGATGAACCAGGATGGCACTGGTTTCACTGTGGCTAATAAGAGGTTTAAGAAACCAACGAAAAATGACCTTGTGTATTTTGAGAATTCTCCAGACTACTGTATCAGGGACCGAGAGTCAGGTAAGTTAAAAAAAAACAAAAAAAAACTCCTTTCAATGATCAGTACTCCACAATTTAAATGAAGTTCTATGTTTTCAGCCTACTGTTTCTATAAGAGCTGCCTGCTCCCTCAGGTTGCAAGGTACTGGCTTTATAATTCCTATTGAAACTGCACATAATGCTCTCCTGAGCAACTGGAGAAGCAGCTTGATAATGTGCAGATTCTGGAGGAACCCACCAAGAATGTGCATGGCAAAAAGTCAAAATATGTAGATTAGCAAGATTCTTCGGCCTGGGCAGAATTCTAGTTAGTGGACTAATGTGCACTACATGTACCTCTTTTGGGGGATCCCGAAGCTGAGAGCAGGATAGTTTTGGATGGCATCTTCCCTTTTACAAATCTCCTCTCTGTGACTATGGAAAAGGGCATCAGAGCTTTAAATTTAGCCTCCTCTGCTGTCTGCCCTACTTCACATTCCCTCACTCTTTGCAATATGCTTAGAAGTTGCCAAATACTCAAAAGCAAGAATTTATCCCACTCTCTTGGCCACAGGTGGGCAGTGTATAAGGGTTGTGTAAGAGGCACCTCATTTATTAGGGCCACACCCTTGCCTCCCAGATGGCACCTTCTCCGTCTTGAACTCACTCAAAAAAACCACCTCTTCAGTCTCAGCCCAGCAGCTGTTCCCACCTGTCTGACTGCATGCATGTGCTTTCTCTGCCTCTCACCCCTCCCCATTCACTCTGAACTCCAGGCTTAGCTCTTTCTTTGCAGAGGCTCTAGTGCAAAATAAGAATGAGTTAAACAAGTCTAAGTCAATGGGAAGTGATGGAAGCCCAAAGCCCACTTTGGCTCAAGTCAATTTCTGGTTGAAAGCAAGGGAATTCACTATCAGAAAAAAAATTCTCTAATTTAAATTTGGAGGTTTTTTTCATTCCAAAATTGCTGCAAAAAAACAGAGAAACAGTACAGATAGCAACCAGATCCTAAGGTTAGATTGACCAAGAAGCAAAATAACCAGCAATATCACAAGAAGGCCCCAGTTTCTTTCTTGGACTTCTTTCTTGAGTGCTTGAATTTCCTTCAGGTTCAATGAGCCAGCTCTCTGCAGCAGAGGAACAGGTTTCTACATGCAGCCAGTGGATTAATGACTATTGAACACAAGGACCAGCAGCTGAGCTCCACTGCATTCCTGAAGTGCTTTGGAGCTGCTAGCGAGTCATCCTCCTGTCAGGTCAAAGTTTTGACCAAATCACTGTGAAACCTGTGCTTTGCTATAAAATTACCCCCAGGGGTCTGGCTTTAGCTAAGCGTTTAATCTCAGACTTCTGAAACAGGGCATGAGGATGAGGATATTGTGATCAGTTTTGGTCCTGTGAATTGACTACTGTGTGCTGAATACTAGACCAAGATCATTGCCCACATGGTCTTGTTGAAACCATGGAACACCCCTATGACATCCATGCATTGAAACTAATTTTTGCAACAATTAACAATAATGAATGATAAAAAGAGAGATATTCCTAGATGATCAACACCAACCAAGAACAAAATTCACTTGGAACTAGGGATTTAGCTCAGTGGTTTTGCTGCCTGCTGCACAAGCGCAAGGACCCGAGTTCGATCCCCAGTACCAAAAAAAAAAAGAACAAAATTCACAGCTTAGTTTTGTAGTCAGATAAGCAGCCCTAGGTATCATCATGACCACTGGACAGAGAAGGAAAGTGAATGACCTGCTCACAATCTTATGGGGAGGAGGGGACTCCTGGCCTCATGGCCTGTGCTTTGATTCTGAAACTACACATTTCCCCCCTGCATCCTAGACATGGAGGGGAAAAGACCTTGTGAAGCAAGAACTTCATGTTGAATATCAGAGGACCTGATTCCCAGCACATCTTTCTGGTCCTTTGGAGAAGCAGCAGTTATAGCTAATGAATTTTTGGTTTTTGGTACCGGGGATCAAACTCGGGTCCTTGCGCTTGCACAGCAGGCAGCGAAACCACTGGGCTAAATCCCTGGCCCCTATAGCTAATGAATTTTACTGCCTCATAGATCATCAATAAAATAAAGACCATACTTTTTTTTCCCCACAGAGGAATTCTAAATCTAATCCAAGTTCCCTCTCCAAGTTACTGAATGATTCTTGAACACTGCCCTTTTCGAAATTTCCTGTATTAGAATAAAATTTTGTTTCTTGATTGTAAAGTAGCAGACATACCTGAGTACCCACCACATGCCAGGGCTCAGTCTACATCCTCTTATTGATTCTCACTGTCCAGGGTGTGAATTTTGTTATCCCATTTTATAAGGGAAGACTGAAGCTCAGAGAGGACACAAACTCTGCCCAGTGACTTTCATTTGGTAAGAGGCAGAGCAGGGACTGTCTGTCCTTTCAACCATTTTCCTCTACAAAGTTCAGATCACTAAGTTGTAGGGGCTGCCTTTCTGAAGGAAACTATGTACTTTACTCTTTTCATCTATTTTTTTCTATCTTATACACATTTTAGCTTATGTGACTTAAGATGATGTGACTTTTCTAGTTTGGGTTTGGTCTTGATTAACTAAGAATCTGTTCTTTTTAAAAGCAGTCAGTTCCAATACATTAGATCAGATTTCTGGTAAGATTCCTAGATTACTTGTAAATTATCTGAACATTATTTAATGTCCTTTTTAGGAAAACCTAAGTGCCAAGTTTATCCACGCAAAACTTGTGATACTTCTTTTTAATTCTGTTGACCCCAGATAATGATTTTAGTGAAAATATGATCCAGGACATTTGATAGTCATGTAGGCAGAAGTTCAGCTTGTTAAAAGAATATTTTTCTCACTGTTCCTATTCGGAGTCATGTACAAATAGCCACAGGTATGAGATGCAGCTGCTCTCTGAAAAAGCCTGCTTCAGCTCCTATTTCTACTGAGGGCTTGCCTTTGGTTGTATAACTAATGGCCTTCTAAAGATGAGGCTTCCCCCTGCTGGATAAACATCTGTGGCATGTGCTGTAGCAGGCTGGTTAAAACATAGTCATGGCAGGTCTTCAGTATGGAATCATGGTGGAGTATCCTCTAGCTTGTCTTTGAAGGCAAAGAATGTAGCAGAAAATTCTAAGGCTGCAAGAAGGGAGGCTTCCGGCCTCTAACTCACAATAAATGCAAGAGCCCTCCCTGTCTGTGAGATGAAGGTATTGGGTCAGTGCTGAACCACCCAGTATGTGCACACAACTAACTGAGCACACAATGAGGGACCCTCTCCCCTGCACTAGAATCATGTTACACTATGAAGGATGTGTTTTCTGGTGAATGGACTTTGTTTGCACTTGTTCAAAACGAATTAAGGGTAACCAGGCTCCAAAATAGGTCAAAAGTTTGCAGTAAAAGTTAAATCAAGTAACATACAATTTTTTTTTCATTTATTCTATTAAAATTAGCATTAACCCTTCCCTACGCTTCACCTAATACTACCCAGTCAGCTTTGTTGTGGTCACTGTTTTGTTTCATCATTGCTTTTGTTTTTAAATTATGCACACTTAACATTCAAGTTACTGGATACCTTCTACTTGCCAGCACTACCAAAGCAATAGTGGTGAGCAGTCAGGTCATCAGTATTTGGAACTGGTTGGCTTTACTCTTGCTGGGTGGTAGCTGTTTTCTGTTCAGACAACCACATGGACAGAAGTGATTTGTCTTATTTGTCAATTAGGTTTGCACAGTGGGTACTATTGTCCAAAGTAAGGAGCCCCTCGGAGACCTAGTGAATCAGAAAGCTCAGGGGATAGTTTCAAACTTAAGCACATCTAAGTTTCAAAAATCACTGGGATCATGATCCCTGGTTGTCTCTGTCAGGGAAAAAGAAATCCAGGGAGACTTTCGTTTTTCTTGGAGTACCCAACTCTTATCAAGGGAAAAACTTTTCTTTACTTGAAAAGCCCTAAATAACTGTCACAAAAAGTAACCCCTGCCTAGGCTTGCCTGATGTAAGAGGGTTGATCATTCACATCTAAGCTTTCTACCTCTTTCACTGCGAGTAACTCATTTAAATTATTTCAGCTGGCAAAGCTTTCACAGGCATTACCTTGACAGGTTACCAAGTCAGACTTCTGGTGAAGTTCTGAAATGATAGCCAGGTTAGTAAAGTGGAGACCCTGGGGTGTTTCTGATCAGACAGAACTTTCTGGGGAAGAACTGGCAGCCTCAGGCCTGGGCTACAGACTTTATGTGAATGTTCCCTAACTTTTCCCAGCAGTCTCCTTCATTTCCAGAGAAGGAAAATGAAGCTCTGAAAAGTTACTTAACTTGCCAAAAAGTGCATGCCCTGAAAGTGGCAAATTAAACATGATAAATTAGTAAAAATCTATACCTTTTTCACTATACCACATACCTGCAGAAATGTGTGAGGTGTTGGAGCAGGGGAAGGTCCTTAGTAATAATGTGCAGCCCGAGGATGTGGAAATTTAATGGGCTCAGGTGCCCACAAAGTGGGGAGGTCCAAAGTGATCAGAATTAAGCACCCATGTTAGTTCTGGTTCCCCTGAAGTCCCTTCAATTACAAGCTCTTCAAGCTTTTAAGAGTGTTAATATCTTTTATCATTCCTAAGAAATAATAAAATAAAACACATTAAAGAAGATATTATGAGAGCAATAGTAGGAAGACATTTTCTCCGGTCTTCATTTGAAGAAGGTGGGTGTTTGGATGGTCAACTAGAAATACTGCTTCGTGCAACTCAGATTTGAAGAGTAGCAACAACCATGTGATGTTGTGCATGTGACATTTTACAGAGAGAACTGTAGGCTAGATCTTGAAAGCTGGGCTTTCTGGGATGAGTGTTCTGGTGACTCTGTGGTTATCTACTCTGGTTACCACCCAGGCATCTGTAAATCAAAGAAGCCCTTCACTTAGAGATAGGTACATCTCTAACTAAGGAATGCTGCTGTCCTCTCCAGAGAAAGTGCCTGCACCTAATCACAGGCCACTTTCACTGCTTGTGATGTGAAACCCTGACCTAGGCCAGAGGTCACTCTGAGT